ATAAATATGACAGAAGTTGTACAAGATTTTAATAGGGAAAATTATAAAACTTATTGAGAGGGCCAGCAGGTGGTATGATGGGTAAGGTGCTGGATTCCCACATGGCTGATCTCGTTTTGAGTCCCAGGCCTGGGGACTACTCTCTCTCTCCTCTCTGCAGAGCATACATGCCCTGTACCAAATTAAAAAAAATAATAATAAATCAAATTAAAATGAAAGAAGTATTTACTTGATTTTATTTATCATCATTATTATTTTATTTTGCTACAGGGCATGTGTACTCATTAGAGAAAGAGGGAAAGTGAGAAAGCAAGCTGGAGGGTCTGGGACTCGAACCTTGAAGTGGGAGTCCAGCGCCTTAACCAACATACCACCTGCTGGCCACTAGTAAGCAAACTTTCTTTTTTTTTTTTTTTGGAGAGATTTTCGCTATAGGGCGCATGCGCTCGCCAGACAGAGAGAGACAGAGAGACAGAAAGTGAGAAATCACCCCCCAGGGGGGATGGTCACGCCGCAATCCCTTCTCCTCCATTCTCCTCTCAGGATCTTGGGCACGCACGCACACGCGCCCGGCGTGAATTTTAAGCCACCGGGTCCGGGATGTGAACCGCGGTCGACTACGTGAGAGTCCAGCGACATAGCCATTACGATAACTGCTGGTTTCCAGCAAACATTTTTAAAGTTGATTTATTATAAAGTGTGGGTGGGTGGGTATGTGTACAGGCACCATACACCCTACTATCTCTCCCCGACTGTCCTGTCTTCCTTGAGACCAGCTGCAGGCCACTGGTGGGGCTCTTATGCATCTTGTGACCATTACCTTCAGCCCTGGAATTGGCCCACGGCCATGCACACCCCTCCCACAATAACAGCACAAGATTAGGGGCACAACCCTAAATAGACCCTGCTGATTCTGTTACTGAATAAGCTCACTTTTTATTTCTTTCTGCTATAGGGCATTTATGCTCACCACAGAGACAGGGACAGGAGGAGAGAGAAGGAAAGTGAGAAATCCCTTCCCAGGGGGTGCTCATCAGGATTCTGGTCACACAGACACCGTGTTTTTCAAGCTGCTGGGTCCAGGACTCCAACCATGCAGTCAGCCATTCGGGTCCCATTCGAGTTAACCACCACGCCACCTGCTGGCCTGAGTGGTTCCCTTTTTAAAGTCACATTCAGTCTTATGAGTAATTTACTTGAGTGTCACCTCACCCTTACTAAATTATGGAGGTATTTTTCGGTTTTTTAATTGATTGTGTTTTTTTTTTTTTCCTTTTATGACAGAGAGAGAGACAGGTACCTTTGGTAGATCTTGCCACGCCATCCTCTCCCAGGACTTGCAGTCAGCCAGGATCACGAGTGTGGCCTCCCTGGGCTCCCAGCTTGCTCAGGTCAAACCCGGATCTAAACCTGGGGCCCTCGTGTGCTCCACATCACTCAGTGGGGCCCGCCACCCGTGCCACCACAGCCAGGCCGCATTGCGAGCTTTTGAGTACCAATGGGACCCGACATGGTTCAGTGTCTGTGAGACAGGAGGGAACTGAGGAAGTGACTCCCCAAACCCGAAACCTGACAGGCTAGAAGTGGCTGAGAGATTGGGTCTGGACCAGTTGGAACCAAGATGGCATCTGGAAGGCCCGTGGCCTTATCACGCCCTCGTGGCACATGCTAGTGTGCCAGAGGATGTGTTTGCCTGCACCATGATAGTTGGAATAACCATAGAAACGACTGGAACTCCCCTTGTAAGACCAGAAATTGGGAGGGACAGTGGTTCCAGACAACCACTGCCTCTTTGCCCGAAAAGTTGTGAATAAACTGCCCCTTCCTCAGCCAGGCTTTACGCAGAGCCATATAAGGCTGATGCCCCAGAGGTCTGGCACTGCCCTGCCTATGGTGAAGCCCTTCCATCTCTCCTTTTGGGTAACAGTTCCTTCCCTCAAGGAGGAAGGAGGAAACTGTTCACCCAGCACCTCTCGCAGGGCTGCTCCACCTTCGGAGCTGTCCGCTCTGTACACTTCCTTAATAACCCTGCCGTCACTCTCCCTCAATGCTCGCTCTTGACTTCTTTCCTGCACAAAGCCAAGGCCCCTGGCACCACAGGTAGAGACCACTGAGGGATGTTATTGATCGAATGATCCAAGGACTGACCTGTTCTCAACTCACACCGCCACGCTCCTTCCCTCTGACTTTAACTGTGCTTCCAGGGGCTCTGGTCCCGCTGTCAGGCTGAGGAGGAAGAGCTGCACTGCCCTCATTCTGATGGCTTCCAGTGAATGACTCCACGCCCTCCAGATCACACCGCAGCCTGCAGGCCCTGGTCTGCAGCAGACCTTGGGTTGGCCCAGGGAGGCACATCTCTGAGAGCACGTCTGGCATCTACCCAGCTAACATGTAAGCTCTCCAGCTCCTTCGCAGCCACAAGACGCCCAGGCCATTAGGGCTGCCCGGAGCCTGATATTAATGAGCGATGCTTTCAGCATAGCTCGACTCCCCTTCCTGGACGCCAGCCTGTCGGGAGCGTGGACAGAGCCCACTGGCAAGTGCATGCCCTCCAGGCCTGGGTCATCCCAAGGCTGCCCAGTGAATGGACGGCATGGGAAGGATTTGGTTTCTCCCCCTCCATCTCCTATCTCCATCTCCCACCCCTTCCTATATGCTCTGTTCACTATCTTCTTGTGTCTCCTTCTCACTTTCTCTCCTCCCCCTTGTCTTGCTGTTTTGTTGTCCCTCTCCTCCTTCATCCTGTGACTTCCTTTACTCTACTTTTCACATAGTTCTCTAATTCTGCCTCTTTTTCTCTTAATAGTATTGTGGGCATCTTTCTATCTTTACAATTCCTTTAGAACTCGTTGAAAAGTGTTGCTTTTAGGAGCCAGGACAGTAGCAGGGTGGGTAAGCACTGTGCAGTGGGAGCCAGACCCCATGCTGTTGACAGTGGTTTGAATCTCAGATCTGGAAGCTTGAAAAGTACTCCAGGCACATGTGTGTCTGTGTACCCCAAATCCTGGTGGGATGGGAAAAGAACTGTGGCATACCCAGCCCCACTGGAGGATTCCCTGTCTCTCTGGCAAAGGCAAGCAGTCTCTGACCAAAAAAAAAAAGGAAAAGAAAACCATATTTTAAAATGAGTACATGAGTATATAGGGTATCATAGAGGTATACCATGATATTCTTTTTTTTTTTTTTTAACAATTATTTTAAGCTCTCCTGAGAGGCTAAAGCAATGTGGAGAAAATGGGAGTGACTTGAGAGTGCAGTTGCCACCAGGAGCCTTCTCAGCAACTCAAGAGTGAGATGACTCAGAGGAGCTCAGAAGCGGGAGGAGGAGGGATTTAACACGGGTCCACTCTCTGTGCTCACCAGCCAGTCAAGAACAACACCCAAGGGCTCATCAACTGCCTCAACAAAAAACTCCTGGGCCATGAGAGGGCCTTCAACAGGCACTGCAACATGGCGCTAGAGAACGTAAAGGAGATGTGGACTGTGGTCCCCAAGAGTGGCAAGGGCAAGAAGAAGTCTATGCCAGTCAACAAGGACCGCTACATCTCCAAGATGTTTCTGTGTGGGGACTCGGTCACCGTGGTCCTGCAGAATCCACTCATCGCTGGCAAACAGAGCCTCTTGCCCACTCTCAGGACTCACTCCCCTGTCCTACCAAGACCTGTCCTTTGTGATGGGAATAACAAAATCCTATATTTTTCTTGGGACCAGCAGTTACAGTAATGGCTATGTCACTGGACTCCCATGTAGTCGACCGTGGTTCAAGTCCCAGACCCGGTGGCTTAAACTCACGCTGGGCGCGTGTGCGTGCGTGCCCAAGATCCTGAGAGGAGAATGGAGGAGAAGGGATTGCAGCATGGCCATCCCCCCGGTGGGTGATTTCTTGCTTTCTGTCTCTCTCTGTCTTGTTTTCTTTTTCTCTCTGTCTGTCTAGTGAGTGCACATGTCCTATAGCAAAAACCTCTCAAAAGAAAAAAAAAAAATCCTGGTTCTTCTTTAAAAAAGATTTTTATTTAACTTTATTTATTTATTTATTTATTTAAACTTGACCAGAGAAGGACAGAGAGAGTGAGAGAGAGGGACAGAAAGTGAGAAAGCAAGCTGCTTTAAATAAAAGAATAGTAACTTACCTCATATGGCTTTTGTGAGATTAAATGAAATAATAAATATAAAGCCTTTAGAATAATGCCTGGCATTTAGTAAGCCTTCAAAAGGTATTAGCTAGCATAAAACTGGACCTAGAACAACTGATACTGCAAATAAGTTAGGAACAAAATACACACCCGGTTTCCTTTCCTCACCCGGTTTCCTTCCCCCTTAGGCCCAGCAGGAAGAGCCCAAGCACCTAGAACCCTCTCTCAGTTGGGACCAGTCTGCTTTGACCAGATTGTGAGTTCTTGGAACCGAGGCCATGAGTTACTCAGCTTTGGAACTGCGTGCCTAGCACATTCCCCGGTACAGGGGCAGATCTGGTACATGTGTGATGAACAAACAAATGAATGCAAGTAATTCTTGCAGCCCTTTGCATGGACTAGAGAAAGCAGACTGACTGACTGATAGGAGGCTAGATCTAGTTTTGACAAGGCAGACCAGAATTGCATGACTAGCTTGGGACAGTAGTGATCTCCTCCTTACCCTGCCCCTCCTGGGGGCTACTGGCTCTGAGCCAGCAAAGCAGCCTGGACCTCTCAAGTGCACTGCACAGCAGGTGCTTGCTTTGCCAGCCCCACCCCAGGGTTTCTAAAGAGGTGCCCATACCTCTGGTTTTATTGGCTAGAGGTTGGCACAAGCAGGGTTTCATCCCACCAACCTCCCCTAAGCTGAGGGCATGCACAAACTGACTGCCTGCCTGCATGCCAAACACCCAGGCACTCTGCAAGCTTCCTCGAAGGACAAGGAGGGCTGAGGGCGGATGTCATCACTGTCCAAGGGCTCCACCCAGAGCAGCCCGAATCTGTCTCCCTGCCCCTTCTCACCTCTGGCTGTTTCACTTTCTTAAAAGCCTCCCCTGGACCCCCGGAGCCATTAGATAGTCCTTCTGGTTCTGGGCAACAGCTAGTACTTTCCCTCCCTCAGCCACTCAGCATCCAGCTGGGTCTTGAATCAATACCAGGGACCTGGGTGTGAACGGAAGGCGCCTGCTTGTTATTTGTCATTATTTGCCTGAGTGGGAGCATTCCATTCCTTCGCATACCCACGTTCGCTCCCCCTCCATTCTCTCGCTCTCTCCCTCCTCTTGCTCTCGCTTTCTCCCTCTCTCGCTTTTTTTCCTCTCTCTCCCCCTCCCTCTCCTTGGGAACTGGTTCAACCAGAGTACAACCAGCTCATCTGCACCTGGCCCTAGGGCGCCCAAAGGAGCTGCAGAGCAGGCTGCCGGCAGCAGCGCGGTTGCGGGCGGCGGTGTGGACAACACAGCCCGGGCCCACTCGCTCCTCCCGGGAAGCCCATGCCTGGCTGGCGCCGCCCGGGGCTTGCTCATGAGGCCTCTGCCGAGCAGGAGGAGGAAGAGCTGCGGCATCTCCCTAGGACTCTTCGCCCTCTGCATGGCCGCAGTCAGTTGTCTGCAGAGTAAGCATGGGACCGGGAGCCGGGATACCAGGGGCGCGGGAGCGAGGGGGTGCGGGGCCCGGGTTGCCCACCTTGTCCGCTGAGGACTCCAGGTGAGCTGGGGCAGGCAGGCACTGAGCCACTTGCCCGCGGGGCTGGGCGCTGGCGAGGGGCCAGGACCCAGCAAAGACTCCCTAGCCCAGAGCCACTCCAGGGCCCGGCTCGGGCTGCCTGGTGAGCCAACAGTTATCAGAGCGGAAGCCAGCCAGGAGATAACAGACTCCCGGCCCGATGACTGCCCTTGGCAGCAATTTTTCTCTTTTCCTGGAATAACCAGAATGCAGCTCCCAAGGGTGCACACACCCTGCCTCTACTGTGGAGAGCCCCCTCTATCCTTGCGAGGGCTTCCCAGACCATCAGCGTGTTCTGCAGGACTCTCCATCGGCTCAGAGGAGCCAAAGCAACCTGCTCCCGAGGAGATGGGGTTGGGGGACTTCAGGTTGGAAGTTGGGGCCTGAATGCCTCCAGGATTAGGGGGTGGGGGCGATGTAGTCCACAGCACCCACCACTGAGCAGTTAGCTTCGGGTGGGCTGGCCCTAGAATCCCTGGCTTGCTGTCTGAATGTAACCCACAATCCCACAAACTCCCAGGGACACACACAATGGAATACAATGCAGTTGTTTGTTTGCTATAGAGAAAGTGTGCTGGGGGGGGGGTGGTATGGGGAAATGGGGTGATTTCCCACCCCATACCCGGCCATGCAGCAATCCCTTCTCCGTTCTCTGGGTTTTGGGGCATATACCCACAGCTGCTAGGCATGTTTTCCGAGCCACCCAGCCTCCTTAACCTGCTGGCCCGACATAATGTGATCCAATATGGTGCCATTTTACTCTCCTATTCTCACTGTCATTATCGTCATTCCCATTTTGCAAATTAGAAAATAGTTTTAGAGGATGACCAGAGCAGAGCCACTGGAGGTGAGAGGCCCTAGAGGGAAGGCCAGCTCTTACTAAGCATGGATGTGTTCACCATCCTCTGACTTTACAGGATTCTTCATTGAGTCCTCAGGGCAACTCTATGAAGTGTTACTCTTATCCCTGTTTTACAAGTGGGAAACTGAGGCACAGAGAGGTCATATTACTTGTATAAGGTGACCAGCTTGTCAGTGGCTAGTCCAGGAATCAAACCAGGCAAGTTAGCACCCTTGACCTTGACACCTCTAGTTACAACCCATCTTTGGAGGTTGCAAATCTCAGAAACCCATTAAGAGAGTGTGACTGACAGCCATCGCTGTACAGCCTACTTCATCCATTCATTCACTCACTCACTGCCTGCAGGAAGCAGCCAGAGCGGGACTGGGGACATGGTGGTGCACAGGTTTAGGAAGTTAGGGGGCTTTCCCTTAGGAAGCTGAGGGGCTTTCAGGAGAGACAGGAAGCACACAAGCATGCCAGCCTTGAGTGGCAAGCCTTGAAAGACAGCAGGCTCTGTGCTCTGGGATCCCTGGAGACTCAGATCCCAGACTTGGGAAGCCAGCACAAACTATCCAAAGGGAGCCACACCTACCTGGAACTAAAAGACAGCAAGTAGCAGCTGGAGGAATAGGGCAGAGGGAGTGCAGAGTGTCCCAGACAGGGCAGCACGTGCAAAACCTGGAAGACAGGTAAAAGTTTGCTATCACCCATGGCCTATCTCCCGCACAGTGATGAGCCCCAAGGAGGAAAAGCCCTCTTTCTCAGCTTTGGCCCTGAGCTATGCCCAGTGCTAGCCAGGGCCTGCCCCTTTAAAAATGCTAAATAAATGTTACAACTCTTTTAGAACTTGTCTAGCAGGTGTTTTAGTTTTTATTGAAAACCCCCCCAAAACAAGCAAAACGATGAATGGAGGACCAGCAGTTGTTGTAATGGCTCTGTCCCTGGACTCCCACGTAGTTGACCGTGGTTTGAGTCCCAGATCTGGTGGCTTAAACTCACACCGGGTGTGTGCATATGTGCCCAAGATCCTGAGAGGAGAATGGAGGAGAAGGGATTGCGGCATGGCCATTCACCCTGGGGGGTGATTTCTTGCTTTCTGTCTCTGTCTTTCTGGTGAGTGCATGCACCTTATAGCAAAAACCTCTCCAAAAAAAAAAAAGTGAAAAAAAAAAAAAGATGAATGTATGTGTGTTTGCCCGAATGTGGTCTGGGCCTTAGGGCCAGCCCTCACCAGCTCCCTCCTTTCTCTGCCTCTTCAAAATCTTCCATCCAGAAAATAGAATATTGGTTATCTATCGATACTGAAGCCTGTGGTTAAGCATGCCCACAAACGCAAACTCCCTGTGTTTGAAGCCTTTTCTCTAAACTTGCGCTTTATGGACTAAATATTTGTGTCTTGCCGAGGTTCGTATGTTCAGTCCTGACTTCCAATGTCACGGTGTTTGGAGGTGAGCCTTTGGGGTGTAACTAGGTTTAGATGAGGACATAAAGTTAGAGACCTCGTGATTAGATTTGTGTCTTTTCAAGAGGGACCAAGCACTTGTGCGCTCAATCGCTCTCTCTACCATGTAAGGACAGCAAGAAAGTGGCCATGACCAGGCCAGAGATGGGGCCCTCACCCAAAACAATCTGGCAGCACCTTGATCTTGGACTTCCCAGTCTCCAGAACTGTGAGAAAGAAATGTCTCTTGTTTAAGCCACAACTCTCTATGAAAATCTGTGACAGCCTGAGCCGACTAAAACAGAGGGTTAAAGGCTTGTCCCCTGAGGAAGTTGACAGACCTCATGCAGCAGGCCTGGGTGGAGCACCTTTCAAAGCGTCTCACTCATTTCCTCTCCCCACTCTTAACATGGTGAAGTAGCCATTGGGCCTGTGGGGAGCCAGCACTCCCTCTCACTTAGAAGCAGCTGGTCCAAGACTAAAGCAGGATAGTTCAGTTAATGACCTGGGTCAAAGTCACTTGCTGCCTTTGCTCCAAACCCAGTTTCTAAGACGCTGCCAGTTCCACAAACGCACTAGCACTCTCATGCATGTGTGTCCTTTAACAGGGTGGGGCCCAGGCTAAGGAAGTGACCCATGAGTCACTCATGACCTAGAGAACAGAGGACCAGGGTCAGGGCTGAGCTGATCTGAGGAGGGAGTGAACAGACCCAAAGCCTGCATTACCAGAATATATCTGAGGGTTCTGGATTTAGCTGATCACAGGGATGGGGGGAGGGGAGGGAGAGCTAGGGTTGGAGGAATCCCCTCAAGCCCTTTGGAGACTCCCAGATCCATCACTGAATAAAAAATCCCCGCTTGTCACCCGGAGCTGCTATCCATGTGACACATGTTGATTGAGCACCTACGATGCTGTGTCGGGCTACTTCAGGCTCTGCATTGGCCCTGATGCAACAGACAAATGAAGTATGTCCTCGCTCTGCACTGCCCAGGGGCTAAGCAGAGATCCTGTGCATTCCTTTCAACTGCTACACATAGAGCATTGTATAAATATGCTACTTTTTACTTAGCCAGCCTCCTCCTGACCGCCATTTCAGCTTTCAGCCCTCGCTCAGGAGGCCATTCCCCAAGTACGGGTGACATCTGCACACCACATGGAGGAAGTGCCAGGCCCCTGGATTTAGGCATCCCCTGCACACTGGTGTGGTATTCAAAAAGTGCATGGAGGACTAAATTGAAGTTATTGAGATGTGCGGTCAAATAGAAAGTCACCCAAGTTTCCTCATTCCTGATCTCCCAAATCCTCCCTGAGTATCCTCCCTGCTGGTCCGAGAGAGGGGCTGGGGCCAGGAGACCCTTCTTTCTCCATTATCCCCAGGACCTAAGAAAGGATAGCTATATACTTTATCACTGTAAGACCTTTTCTTTTTCTTTTAAAATGGTTCACTATATAAAGTCAGGAATGCATGCTACAAATCAATAGCTTCACTGTGATCTCTGGCAGCCTGGACCGAGCTGAGATCTTCCAGAGTGGATATGTATTGCCCCTGCAGTCCCTGAAGGCATCCTCCCTGGAGAGTCAGAATAGGCTTCGTGGAGAAGGTGAGGCTGATCTTAAGAAGAGTGAGCGTACGACAGAACAGGGTGGGACGGGCACTGCGGGAATGCAGCAGGTGCTCAGAAACAGGCAGATTTCTTCTGGGGGGCTGGCAGGGTCTAGATGTGCCTAGCAGGGACCTTAGCTAGTGCCACACTCAGATTCCTTTGTACTGGGCCCCCAGAGCTGTGCGGTCAGGACCCTGGTCAGGCCTCACCTGGCTTCCCTGGGCAAACAGGCTTGGGGTAGGAATGCATTTACTCATCAGCAGAAATGTCCGTGGGAGAAAGAGGGGCCTGGCAAATTCCAAGTTAGAAAATGACTTTCCCGTAACTGATTTACTGGGCTGGGAAGTCATTGGCCTTCCCAGCAAAGGGGAGGTGGACTTGGTGGACCATGAAGGGGGCACAGCACATTCCTTGTCCACATATCCAGCTATTGAGAAAACACACTGGCCCTTCCCCTCGCTGAGGCACACCCTGGGGGCCGCACGGGCCTGCGCCACGCTAACCCTGAGGTGCAGAGAAGCCCAGCTGGCAGGAGAGGGTCTGGGACCAGTGCCAGTCCCAGCGCTGCCCATCATCCTTCTACGTGAGGTCATCGTCCTCTGAGCACGCTGGGTGAGGAGAGTGGACGTGCTGAGTGGTTTTCAACCACAGCTGCAGGTCAGAGCCAGCTGGGAGCCGGTGAGGACGGCGGACGCCCACACTGACTCCAGATCCGTTAAGTCAGCCTCTGAGGGCAGGATCCAGGCCCTGCTGAGTTCTGCTTTTCAGCTCTCAGGTGATTCTAATGTGTGGCCAGGCAGGAAGCTCTTGGACTGGACTATTTCCAGGTCCCCTCTCTTAGTATGGTCCCATGGAAACTGTGTCAGGAAGTATGCACATCTCTCACTGTCCTCAGAACACCTTCCACTGTCGTGGAGTCTCCCTGATGTCTTATCTGTGGTTTTACCCATATCGGAGGGTCTCACATGTCAATTTTTGATAGAATTAGCTATCAGAATGGGTTCTGTGAGGTTTCAATGAGGTGATGGACGTGACGCAGTCGGCCCAGGGCCCGGTGCACGCTCCTCCCCAGTACACACACACGTAATCAGCTGGTGGTGCTAGTCTTCACCCACGCACTCCGCAGAGACCCTGCTTGATGTCTGCCTCACCACCACATCGATATCGAGCGGGTCAGCATGTTCTGGAAGGCCTCCCGACTTCCAGATGGGTACCCTAAACCAGACCGTGCCCCACAGTCTCCAAGGCTGCCAGCCCTGCTCCTGCCCTCCTTGCCCCTCACAGACCTCCTCAGCTTCATGGGGAAGGCTGCCATCCCGCCTAACACCCCCCTTTCCCCCCAGCGCCTGGCATCATGCTTGGCTCCTGCCCAGTCCTCCAACCTCATCTCCTAAACAGCCTTCTCTGGCTGGCACTCAGCTCCTTGAATTTACACTGCCCCGCAGTGTTACAGTAGACTGCCCTGCAGCGTCAGCACAAAGACCAAGCCTACTTTAAAGGTCGTTAATGCCTTCTCCAGGTCTGGCCGCTCCCTACACCCACCAGTCACTGTTACCCTGGTTTACAGCACTCGTTGCTATCTAAAATGCATCTCTTGTTTGTCTCCCTTATAGAATGTAAGCTCCAGGGAGCCCTGTCTTGTCCACCATTGTAGCATCAGCTGCAGAACCTTGATCAGCGCCTGGCATGTAATGGGCGCTCACTAAGTATCGCACAATGAATGAATGATGTAAGTTGGCTTCAGTGTAACTCCGTGTAAGTGTGCCCAACACCTAGCACTCCATCCTGCAGGTCAGGGCGTGTCCCTGTATATTCCCCAGTCCGCCATCAACGCCACCGTCGAGGAAGACATCCTGCTCTCGGTCGACTACACCTGTCACGGGGTGCCTACTATTGAATGGAAGTACACGTCCAACTGGGGGGCTCAGAAGATCGTGGAGTGGAAACCAGGGACTCAGGCCAACATCTCCCAAAGCCACAAAGACAGAATCTGCACCTTTGACAATGGCTCCATCCAGCTCTTCAGTGTGGGCGTGAGGGATTCGGGTTACTACGTCATCACCGTGACAGAGCACCCGTGGAGCAGCCAGTCTGGCACCATTGTGCTGCATGTGTCTGGTAAGACCCACCAGAAGCTGGGGGCCCCCGTGAGCTGTGTGTGGGAGGATGGCGTCACTGTCCCAATGCATCTTCTCCTCTCCCTCCCTCCCCCGCAGAGATCCTCTACGAAGACCTGCACTTCGTTGCCGTCTTCCTTGCCTTCCTCGCTGCTGTGGCCGCCATGCTGATCAGCCTCGTGTGGGTCTGTAATAAGTGTGCGTATAAGTTCCAGAGGAAGAGGAGGCATAAGCTCAAAGGTAACGTACTCTCTGGGCCTGTGACGGTCATTCATGGTTTTGAGGCCGGGGTAGTCTGTGGTGTCTTGTTCTCACCGAGGAACCAGGGTGCAGGTGATTTTCAACTCCTTGACTTGTTCATGCAGAAAGCACAACTGAGGAGATCGAGCTGCAGGATGTTGAGTGCTAGCCAAGGCTGTACCCTAGCATTCCTACCTCAAGAGGAAAACATCATTTTCCAGCAGAAGAAGCAAACATAGGCAGCCCACACGACACCTCCTGTGTGCCTGCTGCAGCAATCCTTCCTGTTGGGACAGTGGAAGTTAAACTTGACTGCCTGAGGTCGGAGACCACGGATTGGACGGTCGGTCCTAGGACTTGCATTAAGTTCAAGGAGACAGTGATGAGGCTTTGAACCAGGAACTTTGCTTGGCTTCAGCTTCAGGGCCAGGTAGTGCATCACCAATGCCGAAGTGCAGGCATTGACCCTTGCTCCAGCACTCGCTCTGGCCCAAGGAGGGCCTGTTGGAGAAGTCCCTGGGTTTTCTGTAGCCCCATCAGTGCATGCTCTGTGCCTTTGTGCTCCGGTCCACCGCACACACCCTTTGCCTTCAACCAGCTCTCAGGTCCACACTACTGCTATGTGAGCTGCTACGAGAAGTTGGAGGCACGGAGGAAACCTGCAGAGGTGGCGAACTGAGGGGTCCTGCTGTGCTGAGGAGATTGGCTTGGAGGTGAGGGCAGGTGGCTTGGAGCTTTAGGGAAAAGAACTCGATGCCAACAGTTGGTGTAATGGCTATGTCGCTGGACCCCCATTTGGGTGATTGCAGTTCAAGTCTTGGACCCGGTGGCATAAACTCACGCCGGTCACATGTTCATGCATGCCCAAGATCCCGAGAGGAAATGGAAGAGAAGGGATTACAACGTGAACATGCCACCTGGGGGGTTGATTTCTCACTTTCTGTCTCCCTGTCTCTCTCTCTCTCTCTTCTAGCAAGTGTACGTGTCCTATTGCATAAACCTCTCCCCCCAAAAAGAAGTCAATGCAGTCTTGAGAGACCAGCTTTGGATACAAGGAATAGGGAGAAAACTTTTCTCTTCCTTACTCCAACATTAATTGGGCTTTCTCCTGTGGTGCAGACTCAGGGTGGTATGAGAAAACAACAGCTCCTCTCCGTCTTGGGCACCACTGGCCTCCCTGACAAGCTGGGCAACACCACTCGTGTGAAAGCTGAGCCTGCATCCTGGGTGGCCCACCTGGACAGGCAGCCACCTCAGGCTTGAGTCACTAACAGGTCACATCTGGAGTCAGGCCCTTTTTCATTCCTAGCTGGGCGGAGGAACAGTTGGCCCTCACCTACCTCAAACCAGGGGTTAAGAGAAGCCCACAGAATGCACAGAGCAATGCGAACGGTTTAAGAAAAGCATGTGTGTGTGTGTCTAGATCCCATAGGAGAGTATATTGATTGCACTGTGGTGGTCACCTTGGGGGTTGCTGTCTCTCTTTCTCTCTTTTTTTCTTTCTGGTGAGTGAACATACCCTGCAGCCTCCCCCACCCCCCCCCCAAAAAAAAAGAAAGAAAAGAAAAAACATAAAAATTCTTTTTTTAAATCTACTTTTTTAAAAAGAATTATTTTATTTAACTTTTATTTATTTATTTTAACTTATGTGGTGGGGGAGGAGAGAGAGAAAGTGAGAAAGCAAACCAACAGGTCTGGGACTCAAACCACGGTCCGCCATGTGGAAGGTCCAGCCCCCTTGACCACAGTGCCATCTGCCAACCCCAATATGAGAATTCTTCAAGGATCAGGAAAATGATACTGGGAAGCATTATACTATCTGTGTCTTAGACACTGATAAATGCCCCAAGGTATTGGAGCTGCAGGTGAGATCAGGGATTGGACCATAGCTTGCTTGCATCTTTATTCTTAAGTTGTCTGTTACCTCATTGCTGGATATTTCTACATCCTGATTTCCAACAGGCAGGCTCTCAAAGCAGGCTTGAGTTTACTCTTTTCTCTCTTCAATCTTCCTAGCTACAGACTGAAGGCAGCACCCCAGTTCTGATGGAGGCCAAGGTCATTAGCTGTATTCCCAGCCCTCAGCCCCAAAATCACCTATGCAAAGATAAAGAAGGACAAGAACATTATTTACTCTTCTCCCTCCTTTTAGGTACACATCCTTTTAAACTTCTTGAATGCACTTCTATTTTTTTTTTTCTTTTTAGTTTGCTATAGGACATGTGTACTTACCAGAGAAAAAGAGATGGGAAAAGTGAGAAATCACCTCCCAGAGGGGATGGCCATCCCTTCTCCTCTATTCTTCTCTTGGAATTTTGGGCATGCACACATATGCACCTGGCATGTTTTCCAAGCTACCATGCAGTCAGCCATGTGGGATCCAGTCACCTTAACAACCTCCATATCACCTGCTGACCCTAAAAAAATTTTTTTAAAGAATAATTTTATTTAACACATTTATTTGTTTTTTAATTTGACCAGAGAGGAACAGAGAGAGAGAAAGCAAGTTGCCAGGTCTGAGTCATGTGGGAGTCCACCGCCCTTAACCACCATGCCATCTACTGGCCCCCTGACCCCAAAGAATTTTTTTTAATTGCTAAGGGGCACCTGCTCTCACCAGAAAGAGAAAGCACTCTCCAATGGAGTGTGGTCACAGCACAATCCTTTTTCCTTTTCTCCAACCTTTCAGAATTTGGGGCATGCCCACACATGAGCCTGGTATGTTTTTCAAACCAAGGTAGGCCATGCAGGGTCAGGCTCCCCATGGTCTGCACATCACCACTAGGCTACAAGGCTGGCCTGTCCACATCTTGTCTACTTTCCACAAAAGGATTATCTGGAGAACTTAATTAAAG